AAGCTGTATGATCAAATGCTTCCCTAAACATTGTTGTATCGTGTCCAGAAGAGAATGACAGTAGTGTAGAATAATTCTGCTAGTCTGGAAGCTAGAGAATTAAATGCTGAATAAATGCCAGGAGAGCACAGCAGCCAAGATCTCTTCTAATGCGAAGCATACCTAGCGTCATGTCTTAGCTCCTATATTTACCAGAACACTGAAATGGAGACACTCACCCCTCACCACACTTCAATATTCAGAGTATCACAATAACATTGAGAGGACTATCACCACTGCTTTGAAATTGCTTTGAAAGGGAATGAAGTTGGCACTTTAAAAAATCTTATACCATCTAAGAAGCTGTTTGGCATGCCATGAATGATTAATTACGATTACAAAATACATAATTAAACTAAGCACAGGGGGAAGGTCAGAGTAGGATCAAATAGCTCAGTTTCACTTAACACTTCAATCACTTTTACAGAATGAAACTAGAATACACAGCTTACCCATTATGGGGGGGGGGGGGGGGGGGAATTGTAATTGTTTTAGTTTCACTGCCCAAAAATCCAGCCACGAGAGGGAGTCAAGAATCAACAAAATAAATTGCGTAAATATTCACCTCAATTATCCAATCATGTAAAAAGCCAATTTCTGTTTATTTAATATGTACATGAATGGGTGTCCCTAGTGAAAAGGCATTTGGTTTTTACATGGTTGAATAATTAAAGTGAATATTTACACTATTATGCGATTCCAAACTTTATTAATAATTTAGCCCTAATGGTTCTCACCCACCTTGGGTGTTAGAGTCTGATACATTTACTAGGATGTTAGGTTTAGAGGGGGTGACCTCTGATCCTGACCAAGCTAAAAATGTCAGGCTCGATCAAAGAGAATATCCAAATATAAGAAAAAAATAAATACTTTTGAAAGTAAGACAGAAAATATGAATGTGTATTTCCACTTCTGCAGCCAAATTGGGATAAACGCTAATGCTACATGTTCTCATTCACAAAAGGAGAACTTTAAAAAAACACAATTACTGTTAAGCTTTTTACTTGTCCTTCTATTTCACGCCTAAACTGAATTTTCCAGGGGAATGCAATGGGGTCTTGGGAGTTAATGTGTGCCATAATTAACCCTGTATGTACTGTGCTAGCAGACCTTCATTATCAGTCGTAAACTAGATTTGAATACTGAATGTCCCAACAAAGTGCTAAATAATTAGAAGCCAGCTCCCCGCATTGTATGTTGATGAGGAATAGCTGTGGTGTGTCCCCAGTCTGTGTAGGGACAGAGACAGTGTCCAGCATTAAAGTTTGAGATGGCTATACTAAAAAATGTTAGCACAGAGATCTCTCCCACTGTGCCTTTATTTTCTGACAGGGGGACTCTTCTGCACCCCACCCCCTCCCAGAACATACTAATCAGTGCATGCACCCATTTGCTGCAAGCACTGCTCAAAAGCAGGTTTTCCAGCATATCCCTTCAACAAAAGCTGGTCCTTAGACCGGCTTCTGTCAGACAAACACTTATTGCAAGAGAGTTCTCTTGTCCATTCAGTAACTTAAAAAGACTTTTGTATTTTTAAGATAGGTTTAGAACACATTTCATTTGGCTGAGAAGGAATACACATCTATGACTAGTGACGAAGGTTACAATTGGCTATACGCCTAGAAATAATGAATGTTATCAATTTCTCCATAAGAGTGTAGCTGAAGCAAAGAAGACTAAAGGAAAAACCATATGTGTATAAAAATTCGAAAATAGAGTCTCCACAAGCATTTGTGAGGAATTGGGCCTCACTCAGAGTTATGCTTTAATCTGCTATGAGGCCTTCATTTACAAACTTCTAGGTATTCTGTGTAAATGGGTACACACATAGTTGGGTTTTCTCAAATGTGACTGCAAATGTGAAAATGCACAATAAAGGTTTCCAAAAAAATTCCATTCACAAACGGTTCTCCTAAAATTATAACTGTGCAGGCTTATTTATGCAAAGGGGTATATTTGGTCCTTTATGTAGCTTTATGCATGCAGAAGCTGGGATACACTATATTGAGGTCAAACAGCAGACAAGCAGAAATCAGACTTCAGACCCTCTAGTTAGAAAGAGAAGGTGCGGCTTAATAAAACCAAAGGGGGATTAAAAAAAAAAAAAAAAAAAAAAAACAAAGCACACCACACACACAGAAGGTGGGATGGTAAACCTTTCATAAAAGGTATACAGTTATATTTTATTATTCAATCTGAAAGCCCAACCATGACCAGTTCTCTTTCTCAAACAATCCTTTCTACTACATTCAAAATTTAAAGGCCTAAATTAATAGAGTTTGAAAGCTGCAAAAACACTATTAGAAAAGCATCTGTGAGGAAATTAAGTATGAAGAAGGGCTCTCCAACCAGAGATTCATTAAAACTGTCCTTAAAATGAGTAAACAAAGTGTCCAATGCAAAAGATAGTAAATGCCTATCTCACTGCCTGCGCTACTTTTCATCACAGTAATCAATGAGAACTGTGGCTCAATAAAACTTTAGATTGTGACACTTTTGGGAGTGATGAATTTCTGGTAACCCCTGCAATCGGTATGCCCTGTAGTGACATCAGCCTGGAGGGAAAACCACAGAACTGCGGGACTAAGGAATTCACACTCCAAAAGTGTCACTCTTCACACCATAACTCCAACAAATAACCTTTAGCCTTCTTGTGGATCTTCATTGCTGTAGTATCTGGTCATGATACTGTAATCTGTAAAAATTCATACATGAACATGAACACTGTCTGTCCTGGAAATGTATGAAACCCCTGTGTGTATGCCACTTTTGGGCACGGAGTATTGCATGGTTTGCCTTAGTAATGGGCCTGAATTTACAATGGAGAATAAATATGGTAGAACCATGTAGGTTAACATGCTATACTACACTGCACACAAGTTTTTAAAATTGTAAAAATGCCTACAGACAGGGGGAGAGGATACATTATATATTGCCAAAAGTATTGAGACGCCCCCCCAAATCATTGGATTCAGGTGTTCCAATCACCTCCACAGCCACAGGTGTATTAAATTAATTACCTAGGCATACAGACTGCTTCTGCAAACATTTGTGAAAGAATGGGTCACTCTCAAGAGCTCAGTGAATTCAAGCGTGGTACCGTGATAGGTTTGCCACCTGTGCAATAAGTCCATCCATGAAATTTCTTTGCTACTAAATATTCAACTGTTAGTGGTATTATAACAAAGTGGAAGCAACTGGGAACAGCAGCAACGCAGCCACAAAGTGGTAGGCCATAAAAAATGACAGAGCGAGGTCAGTGCATCCCGAAGCTCATAGTGCGCAGAAGTCACCAACTGTCTGTAGAGTCAATAGCTAAAGATCTCCAAACGTCATGTGGCCTTCAGATTAGCACAACAGTGCATAGAGAGCTTCATGGAATGGGTTTCCTAGGCCGAGCAGCTGCATCCAAGCCTTACATCGCCAAGTGCAATGCAAATCGTTGGATGCAGTGGTGTAAAGCACACTGCCACTGGACTCTAGAGCAGCGGAAATGTGTTTTCTGGAGTGATGAATCACACTTTTGTCTGGCAAATCTGATGGATGTGTCTGGGTTTGGCAGTTGCCAGAACACTACACACCTGGCTGCATTGTGTGTAAAGTTTGGGGGAGGGGGGATTATGGTGTAGGGTTTTTTTTCAGGGGTTGGGCTTGGCCCCTTAGTTCCAGTGAAGGACATTTTGGACAATTTCATGTTCCCAACTTTTTGGGAACAGTTCCCAAACCGTTGGCCCCTTCCTGATCCAACATGACTGTGTACCAGTGCACAAAGCAAGATCCATAAAATTATGGATGAGAGAGTTTAGGGTGGAGAAACTTGACTGGCCTGCACAGAGTCCTGACCTCAACCCGACAGAACACCTTTGGGATGAATTAGAGCAGAGACTGTGAGCCAGGCCTTCTCACCCGACATAAGTGTCTGACCTCACAAATTGCACTTCTGGAAGAATGGTCAAATATTCCCATAGACACACTCCTAAACCTTGTGAACAGCCTTCCCAGAAGAGTTGAAGCTGTTATAGTTGCAAAGGGTGGGCCAAGTCAATATTGAACCCTACAGGCTAAGACTAGGATGCCATTAAATGTGTGTGCATTTAAAGGCAGGCGTCCCAATACTTTTGGCAATATAGTGTATGTCATCTTATGTTTGCAGGTTATGTCTTCACATGCCTGTTGACATGTGCAAGGCTATAAATTACAAATAGTTAACATGTAGTAGCAAATGATCACACAATTTTAGAACACTGTGCTACCATTAGCAATTAATCACAATTACATGCTATACTTCATTGTTCCCTATGTGCTAGCGAATAACTGCATAGCAATCAGGGGCGATGAAAAATAAAGTCGCCCCTGTCCAGTCTTCCTGCAAAACAGTGAACCTATGCTACACTTTATCCTTTTAAAAGTAAACGTTCTGAAGAACACAATGCTTCAAATTACATTTACTAGCCAAGAAAGCTTCTTTCCGATTTAGATTCTAAAACTAAAATCAGAAGGATACCACCTTTCTATCAGAAATCTTGCATTACCTGCTCTTAGAAAGCACAATTTTACACTTTTAAAAGTGAATTTGAACAACTTCAGTTTATGTTTGGTGTGAGCCTCCCCTATGACAGCAATCCTTGTGGTGCAATCAAAAAAAAAAAAAAAAAAAAAAAAAAAAAAGCCTCATTACCGTCACGTGACTGGTAGCCTTCCTTTACCTGTATAGCTGAGGAATCAAATTGCAAAACAGCAAAAAGTTCTATAAATCTACCCAGAAAATGGATATCAAAAGGAGAACCTGTACAGCTTTTAAAAAAAGAAATTTTCCAGAAGAAATATAAAAATTGTATTTGAGTGAAGAAACTTTAGAAGGCGGCTTTTATCAGACTGAATACTGCTAGGAAGCTCTAGTTGGGAAGACTGCTGCATCCGAACAGGTAACCTAATGAAACACTTACCTGAGACAAGTAAATTTAGTATGTTCTTTGTCTCTTATTGGATTCATCTCTTGGAGACTCAGCTTGCATTACTTTCAGCTTTACACCATTCACCATCTTTCCATGTAATATGGCAATTGCATCATTTGCGCTGGATACTTCGGCATATTTGACATAACCAATGTTCTTCCCGGGCACAATGTAAACTTCAATGAGATTGCCGAATCGACTGTAACGATGTACAAGAGAATATTAACCATATAATAAAGCCAATTTTTCAAAGCTTTTAAGCAATAAAAGCTGACAGCAGTTGTGGAAGCAGCAACTGAAGAAAACTCACTTTTTGGTGACTAAAATCTAAGTCTGAAACCTTATTACAGGTGCTCCTCCTAAATCAGTAAAGCTATGATTGTTTACCTGAGAAAGGAGGCAGATCAGACAAAACCGGATGTCTTTACTGCAGGCCACAACAGTTAAAAGAGACCCTGTCACCACCTGTTATGGTGAAAACTAAACACAGGCAGGGAATTTGTATTAGTAGTACTAACAGAAACCCTACCTGCTGCAGTGCATTGTGGAGGAAGGTGAAGAGAGCCGTGCATGAAAATACTTAGAAACTGCAGCAGGTTGGAGAACTATGATCACTTTACTGGTGTATGCCATAAAACATAGCAAACGCATTTTGGGAAGCCTTCTTCAGGGCTTTAGTAGTATTGGATCTGTTGCTTGTGGGCACTGCAGTCTGTGTCCTAACAAGGCAATAGTGGGGGTATTTACTAAAGCTGGAGAGTGCAAAATCTGGCACATAAACAATCAGCTTCCAGGTTTTACTGCCAAAGCTCAATAAAAGCTGACGCTAAAAGCCGATTGGCTACCATGCACACCTGCACCAGTTTTAGTAAATCCAGTGTTTCGGAATGTCTGTTGTGCCTGCAGGCACATGGTCTTTACCTACCTTGACATGCTCAAAGGGATCCACTTGGAGATTGATCAAAAGAGTCAAGAAGTCATAGACAATACCCATGATTGCCAGATAGAAAGCCTTCTGGGCCATCCAGAGCATCCATTCCCTCTACATCATTACTGTACTAAAGGCTAGTTGTCATTGTATACATACCACTGAAAATACTGAGGTCATAAGGGGGACAGCGTGGGTGGCCTGGAAGGCTGACCCTCCCACTCATGTCAAATCTGCAGCAGAACTGATTTAACCACTTTCCCTCCTGAGGATTTACCCCCCATTCATGACCAGGCCATTTTTGAAATTACAGCGCTGCGTTAATTTAACTGACAATTGCGCAGTCATGCAACGCTGTACCCAAATGAAATTTACATCTTATTCCCCCACGAATTGAGCTTTCTTTCGGAGGTATTTGATCGCCTGTGCGGTGTTTATTTTTTGCGCTATAAGCAAAAAAAAAAAATCTAATTTCGTCAAATTTAGGCCAAAATGTATTCTGCTACATGTCTTTGCTAAAAAAAAAAAAAATCCCAATATGTGTAAATTAATTAACTTAAAGTTATAGCGTTTACAAATGGCGGTATAGATAACGGGATTCATTTTTTTTCTCTACTAGTAATGGCGCCGATCAGTGACTTTTAGCGGGACTGCAGCGGACATCCTGACACTGGGGGTAACTTAACTTTGTGTCAATGACACACCAGTGACACCAATACAGTGATCAGTGCTATAAAGAATAAAAAAAAAAAAAAAAAAAAAAAAAAAAAAAAAAAAAAAAAAAAATATGCACTGACACTTGAACTAATGGCACTGGGCAAGAAGGGGTTAATGTGAGGGCGATCAAAGGGTTAACGGTGTGCTGGGAGTGTTTTACTAGGGGGCAGGGTGTGTTCTTCACTGTAAGCACATTGACAAAATGCATACAGAAGCAAAAAGCAGTGAGGCAAGTGTTTGGCCAATATGTAGTCAGCTTAAGGGGGTTTCGTGGCAGTGTGTGGAACAGCTAGTGGTGAAAAATGTCACCCTCTTAATGCTGTAAAGGAGAGCAAAGATGGGTGGATTATAGGCATATGCTGATTGTTTGTCAAAACATTTAGCGAGTGTATTATCTCCAATTGTATGGTATTTGTGTGGTTTGCATTGATATACATAGGCAGCACAGTGGCTAAGTGATTAGCACTTCCATCTGGCAGTACTATGTTCGTTGGTTCGAATCTCAGACACGGCACCACCTGCCTGAAGTTTGCATGTTCTCCCTGTGTCTGCGTGTTTCCTCTGAGTACTCCAGCTTCCTCCCACACTCCAAAGACATGCTTGTAGGTTAGTTGGCTCCTGTTTAAATTGGCCCTAGTATGTGTATGTATGAATGTACATTAGGGACCTTAGATTGTAAGCCCCTTGAGGGTTAGGGACTGATGTGAATGTACACTATATATATGTAAAACGCTGCATAAATTGACAGAGATATACAAGTACCTAAAATAAATAAATCTACTATTGGCAAACTAAAATAGGATTCTAGCATTAGAGAGGCAGGTAGAAAGACCTTCAGGATATGCTTGACAGTTAAAAATCCTCACCAGAAAACATCTTCTGCAACGTCTTGTGGCAGTGGGTGAGGATTGAAGACGACAAACAGTCTTTCCTTGGAGTGTGCATCACTGGGAGCTTTCTTTTTGTATGCTGGAAGGGTAGCGTCTGTCTGAATCTGAGAGGCAGCGGGGGAGGCAAATGTTCGATCATAAGCCTGCAGACAAAAGAGATTCACTTTGAAAACCCAGAAGGATACTTCTAAACTATGCAGGCAGTTTAAAAAAAAAAAAAAAAAAAAACACAACAAATACATTTCAAAGACTTTAGCCCTTTACTTCATTTGAAGGCACTTTGTAGTTTACAATGTTTTCAAAGTTAAAGTGTAATAATTTGTTTTGTTTTTTTTAAACAAATTTTCACACTTAAAAGCCCAATGCCTCACTGCTCCCCATCCTGCTAATGGTATTAACCAAAGGCCTAAATCTATCCATGTCAATTATCGACAAATACGCTTTCTATGGTGGTTTTCAATGGCACTGTCACTTTGACCCAAATGAAGCCACTGAAAATTCCAATACTTCTAGGTATTGGAAAACATCTGACATTTCCCCTGCATTTCCACAAAGCTGTGCTTGAGTGTTCAAATGTCAGGCATAACAGATGTCACATGGGTGGCACTGCCTAGCAGTGTGAGAACTGACCAGCAGGGTATGTCAGTATTGCAATATTCAATGACTGAAACCTGTTAATAAAAAGCAAATGTTTTAAAAGAAAATGTAGGGATTTAAAAATACACATAGCATTGATTCGATGCTGCATCTGTCACCCGCCGGTTTTGCACTAAAAAGTGAGCGATCAAACACCACTGATCGCTTTGTTCTCAGCCTTCAGTGAGCAAAGCGAGTGAACTGACAGTCACCTACTCCAATGCTCGTTGAAACACAGGGATGTGGAGGGGGCAGGAGGGGTTGGCTCAGGCTCTCAGTGCCTCGCTGAGAGGCTGAGCCAGATGCTGGTCAGGCATCTGGAAGGATCCCAGCATCCTCAAACTGCCTCCCTACAGGATTGGCCATCTAATTTGAAGTCTATGAATGAAAAAACTGAAAGTCTCATTTGTCACTGCAGCAGAGATACTCGTATGTCTCAAAGAACAAGTGCAGTGAAGTCAAATGTATTTGTACTCAGATACTTCCTCCAGTTCTGTAACTACAAGCCCATATCTCAGTGATGGAAGAGTCTGCAGGAGCCATTTAATTATGCATAACTGAAAAATAAATAAAAAAAAAAAAAATAGGTGGTATATTAGCTTTGTCTCTCAGGATCACAGTACAATGTATCAGTTTCATTTTAAAGTGGTAGAAAATTCAGAAGGAGGGGGAAGAAAAAAAAAAAAAAAAAAGGGGTCCCCCTGCAAGGTAATGGCACACTGCTTGTATGCATCGCCCTCCAGGCCTTCAGACAGGACAATCAAGTGAAGGTCTGAAAATTCAGCCACAACCACCTGATCATCTGAGCCACCTTCTGGCTCTAAATGGTACTGACACAAAAATTCAACAAGGCAGGCACACAGCCTGACAGTTACTGAATAGTAGTAGTGATTTCAGCCATTAAATAGGTGAAACAGTACTCAATTCCTAGCAAATAAGAGGTAAAGCGATTCTAAAGGCTGACAAAAAAAACAACAAACCCCACCCCCCCCCCAAAAAAACACAAACATGTTATACTTACCTGCTCTGTACAATGGTTTTGCACATAGCAGTCCTGATCCTCCTCCTCTTTTTGCTCCTGTGCTGGCAGTCCTGGGTCTTCCCTCCTGTCGAGGGCCTCCAATACCAAGCCTCTTGCTATGGGGGCACTCAAGCAGGCTTACTCCTGAGTTGCGTGCCTGTGAATGGACATGTCCATTCAGAGACTGCGACTTGGCCACACCCCTACCCTCACCCCACTGGCTCACTGGCTGTGATTGACAGAAGAGCCAATGGTTCCCACTGCTGTGTGTGCCAATGAGCAGAGAGACCTGGCTCGCATGCACATCACTGGATCTAAATGGGGCTCAGGTAAGTATAAGGGGAGGGGGCTGAAGTGGGAGCTGCACCCCAGAAGATTTTTACCTGCAAGCATAGAATGCACGAAGGTAAAATACCTTCCGCCTGGAGAACCAGTTTAAAAAAGCTAGAATATGGAAGTAATGTTTAGTCAGGACTTGTAATAAATGCCACAGATTAAGACTGGAGGGTGCATTCACACTACTATTGTGGTTAAAACATGTGCATTAGGGCCCATTCACACCACTCATACCGGGTTTAAGCTGCAGAGAGGGGGGTGTGATGTGCGTTTAAGCGCATCACACATTTCCCTTTTTTTTTGCTAACTCTGACATGAAGAAAGTGACAAGTCGAAAGTATACCTTATTGAGCCGCTCCAAGCTGTGGATGAAACAAAAAGGATCACCCCACTCGCAAGTGAGAAGAGGGAGCAGGAGTCAAAGCGATTCCAATGTCAGACAATACAAGTGAAGGGATGGATGCTGCTCAACCGACCCCAGGAGTCCAATGTTGAGGAATGGCCTCAGCCACGCCATCTATCACATTTTGCCACACCCACCAGGGTTTGGCCACACTCTGACCAAACCTCCGGTGGGTGGAACGACATGTGTCAGAGGGCATGGCTAGAACGGCGGTTGAGGCCGTTCCTCAACTTTGGACTCCCGGGGTCAGTTTAGCAGCGTCAATCCCATCAATATATTCAAGTTATCACACAGCAGCATGGTGTATTGCTGTGGGGTGACATGTGGCGCAGCACGTCTGTTCATTGCATTTCACTGCACCTTCAGACTGCACTGCAGTGTGAACGGGGCACATATAAAAAAAAAAGCCTGCCTGGAGCCTGCTACTGTTCTGACCCATCCTGTTTTCATGGTCCTATGTACACCGTAAGGGGACCGGCATGTAAAAAAAAAAAAAAAAGCTTTGAAATGAAAGCAGAGGAAAAGGTTACAGTTAACCTACTTTCAAATATTGCCTTCCTATTACTTTTCTTTTTTTAATTAACTGTTTCCCAACCGCCTATAGCAGATCTATTGCTACAGGGCGGCACGGATGTGCAAAATTATGTATGTGTGATTTTGCATTTCCGGGTAGGGGGTGCGCTCAAGACATGCGCGCTCCCATTTGCGGCCGTCAATCACCGGGTCCCGTCTTGTGATTACTCGCCGGCGCCTGCTGAGCATCTCCGACAGGGAGAACTGTTTGTAAACAAAACAGTTCTCCCTGTCAGCAAGTGCTCACTGTGATTACAGTGAAGCACATGGACACAGCTTACAGTGAAACAGCACACATTTAACCCTTTGATTGCCCCTCATGTTAAACCCCTCCTGCCCAGTGCAATTAGTACTGTGTTTTTTTTTTTTTTACCACTGACTGTATTGGTGTCACTGGGGATGTCAATGACACCAAGTCAGTTCCCCCCCAGAGTCAGAATGCCTGCCACAGTCCCGCTATGAGTTGCTGATCGCTGCCATTACTAGTTAAAAAAATAAATAAATTCCAATATCTATACCGCCATTTGTAAATGCTATAACTTTCACGTAAACCAATCAATTTACACGTATTGGGATTTTTTAGCAAAGACATGTAGCAGAATACATTTTGACCTAAATTTATGACAATTAGATTTTTTTTTTTTTAAAAATTTTACTGGACATGTTTAATTGCAAAAAGTCAAAAATATTTTTCTCTCAAAAGTGTATTTTTTCCTAGCGCAAAAAATAAACACCGCACATGTGTGGGGGGGGGGGGGGGGAAGGACGTAAATTTCATTTGGGTGCAGCGTTGCATGACCATGCAATTGTCAACTAAAGTAACGCAGCACCGTAACGCAAAAGATGGCCTGGACAGGAAGGGGGGGGTAAATCCTCAGGAGGGCAAGCGGTTAAAGTTTTTTTGTGCACTCATGCAACTACAAAGCTCCAGCTTCTCAGTGTAAACTGTGTGAGCCAACAACAGGCCTGAAATACACAGCAGTGAAGTCAACAGTCATCTTCTACAGTTCCATCAACTGTCGAAGGGGAAAGGAGAGAGGAACTGGAGCTTGCAGCATTTAGGAGCAGAACCTGAAAGAAATATTTTTTTTATATATATATATATATATATATATATATATATATATATATATATATATATATATATATATATATATATATATATATATTTTTTTTTTTTTTTTTTTTTTTTTAATACATATATTGTGATTTATGGAAAAATGTATATGAAGCAAAAGGGAGGAAACATTTTAAAATTAAGTTTATTGTAGCTTTTACATCTGCTTTCATTTACAGAAACTCGTACTGCAGATAATATGATGCTTCTATTGTCGATTGCCATCTAAAAAATTGCAACCGACTGGCTGTCTTGTTTCTGTGCTTTCCAAGTTACTGACCTGGAACAAATATGCAGTGAAGTTTAAATCTTGATCAGCATATTTGTTCTGGGTCAGTGATACAGAAAGAAAGAATGAATACAGGAAGAAAGTAACTAGCCTTCAGAAGACATGTTCAGTAGCCTCTGCATTTCTCTCAGTTTATGTTTCCAGTAAAGGGATGTTAATTTAGGGTGTAACTTGTAACTCTGAAGAAGCAAACCTCTCTCCCCTCAGCACCATCCCCTAAGATAACGGGCACCTATCCTCTTCCTGCACCCACTGGCACAGAGCCACATCACTCATGCAGAGTTCTGTGAATGAACCACAAGTCCTGTCTGCACTGCGGCAGATGGTTTGTAGTTCTCAATGAACTGAGAGGGTGCTGGTGAGCGCCACTGTAGCTTTATAGATGGCAGTGTAAAAAAAAATAATAATGCACATTTTACACCTGCAAATCATGTGCATTTTTTTCTTTTTTTAAACAAAAGGTGAACTTGACCTTTAAATGGATACAATAGGTACACAGATGATACATTTGTTTGCTAAGATCAATAAACTAAACACACTCAGCTCTATATTCATTGTGTTGCAGGCATTCAACAGACATAAATGCTTTATAAAATCACAGGAAAAAGTAAAAAAAAAAAAAAAAAAATTATATATATATATATATATATATATATATATATATATATATGCGTGCAAGTAGCATCCATTAAATTCTCTTCATAGTGAGAGACAGACCGTACTTCCCAAGAACCAAGAAGCACATTTAATAAGCTCAATTCACAAAGCTAAAAATACCAGAAGAATCTTTTTTTTTTTTTTCTTTTTTCATTATTAGTGTTAATTAATCCAATGGGATTAAAAAAATTAAGTCACATGGCCAAAAAAAAAAGAAGATTCTAAACATTGTTTATAGCTTGTGAATTGAGCCTAATGTAATATGTGAAATCAATCACAAAACCCTGGAAATTTACATTATGATTTAAAGAAGAAAAAAATTGACACGAATTGGAAGGATTTTAAAAGCAGCAATTAAAACAGCAGAGACCCCATTGGTCACTTCTGTCTTAAATACTTCTCCCTGCCCATCTGTGCAGCTCAGCTGACATTTACGGCACTGCTCTCTACCACAAGGATTCGACTCCTATGCGCATTTGCATCATGGCCCAGCCATTCAAGCGGCCCCGAACAGAACAAGTGTGGAAGGAAGGCCAGGAGAAGACAGAAGCACCCCAGACCAGTACATCACTAGAGGGCATCATTTGACAAGCAAGTCTGCCATAGTGTTCTAATATACCCCTCCTGGGGTCCACGTATTTACAAAATTAATCCCGCTTGAAGGCTGAGTTCCCATTGGCGCCTAGTATTAAACAAGTTATGCTGCAAAATAAATGCGCATTGCGTAAGGAGAGCTTATTCAAGTGAATGGGCTCTCCCATGGGCCAAAATGCATGCAGCATTCACAGCTGCTCAGTACACAGCAATGCATGCTAGTTAACAGTAACTCGTGAATTACCTCAGCACTACAGTGTGAATTAAATTTAATGCAATTATTTAATTCTTTTGAACATGCGCATGCAGATTTCCTTCTTTGCAATGAATCGCACAATTTATGAATACAAAGAAGAATCAAAATGAAAAAGGTATAAATCACACTGGCACAAAAGGTAATGTGCAGTAAACTACAATAAGTGTAATGTTCGTAAATGCTGGTATCCACATCCTGTGTCGTAAAGTGCATTTATCTGAAAGTATTTATTAAAAAAAATAATAATAATAATGACGTGATGGTAACGCAGGTAACGTGGTTATGCAGAAAACACAAACAGAATTAAAAAGCACTGTTATTTCCTTCAATGTGATAAACATGAATGAAGCCATAAACTTTGTTTAGCTTCAGACCAAATGAATGTGTTTGCGTCAGCAAGGACTTGATTCGTGGATCAATTTGCTCATCTCTGCTCTCTTTGTGTAGGAGGTTTATGTTCAGCCTTGAATGCCTTTTACAGTCAGTTTAAAAAAAAAAAAAAAAAAAAAAAAAAAAAAAGCAAATGCCAGCAAGACGTGGCATTAAATAGAACAGCAACATCAACCTTGAGCTGGACACAACATGGAATAGTCTTCATGAGTCATATAGTGCTGTTGTTATGGCAACCGTACAATGAGCCAGAGAAGCCCAGGAACATTAAAATAAATGAAATGCCCAAACTAGCAAAGGCATAAAATATGACCCTCCGTGCCAGGGGAAATAAAGATCTATGCAATAAAACTAGACAGGGTCTTTTCCAGACACTGATAAATCAAACTGCACCCACTTACTAGGAATATAAAAGGATGAGGAACATACAGAAAAGTAAGCCTGTGTTACTTGCCAATTTAAAAATATCTTCACTTTTTTTGTAGCCATCAGCTTACTGTAAGGCCTAATTTACTCCGGTGTACAAAGCATATGCCCCTGCAAGGGCCATTTGCACCGACATGGGGATGCACAGATGTTCTGTGCATTCCCCAGGCAGGCAGTCCCATTCATGTCAACTGGGATGAAAAGGCAGAATGGACAATAGCCATTGCTCCTAGAAATGACAAGCATGTGAGTGTCATCGAATGCAGAGTGCAAGTTCAGGGACCCCGACAGCTGTGAAATTGGGAGCAGTGGCTGAATCCAAACCGATATGAGTTCCCATGCGGGCACACACAGCCCTCACACAAGCATATACTCAAGTAAGCTGGTGTGAACTAGGACTAAATAAACTAATCAATAAAGACCACTTACACCTATACTAGCATGTTGTGTTGCCCCTGCCCATTCATTTCCTGTAGGCCCTTGGAGACCCAGTTGTCAGATCACTTGTTTTTATAACAATCGTCCCTAAAATGATGTGTGCATTTTACATTATAAATTGTGTTTACCTGTAAAAGCCTTGCTTGTGTACATTCAAAAGGCCTACGAATGCAGCCATCTTGCATGTGATAGCAGCAACCCCAGCAAACCCTGTCACCCCAGTGACACTCGATAGTATTCCAGCTCCAGTGAAGAAGCTAGGCCAGCATCGACCGTAATAAGTTTACCACTTTATAGAGGTTGGTTACATTCTGAGTTCTATAGAAACCATTCCTAATTGGTAAGCACAGTCTTGGACCAAAAGGTAAGGCTGGCCACACACTATACAATTTTCTGTTCAATTTATACCCAATTTACCTTCAACTATGTAGAGCTTAATTGGATACAATTGAAAGTGTCGTTTAGGTTTGACCTCATATTATATGGTTTTTGGTAAATCTAAAGAAAATTGTATAATTTATGTCCAGCCTAAGGCAGTAGGCTGATAACATCTGCCTCACCCAACTTTCCTCTGCATGTCACAGAGAAAATCCTGGTTTTCATTAGTTAATATCCATTATGTGGACGGATGAACCAAACAAAAGGTAGTATAGAATAGGATGTACCATATAAACCGATCCACAGAAAAATAGTCCAAGCCAGGTGACTCACTGCAAGCAAACATTTTTTTTCTCCATAAATGGATCGAATCCCGGCTGGTGCCTGCTGAATTTGCCAAGATTAGATCCATCTATAGCTGGCTTTACTATAGATTAAAAATTTTTATTTAATTCTGCAATTGTCTTATGAAACAAAATGATGATTTTTGATACAAAGCATGTTATACTTAACAAATGAAGGAATTTGAGAAATAAAAAGCTCCATCTGTACAAGTGCAGGCCCGACAGTAGTTCTAGTCATTCTCAGCAGAGCAGAACATTTGCATCCATCAGCCACAAGGAGATAGAGCTGGAGTTCTGCAGTCAAGTGACCACAGATAAAACACAAAAAAAAAACAAACAAACCACAAACTATTTTAAAATGATGTATTCAAGTAGAAAGAAGGGCTACGCAGTAAACCAACTTTAAAAATGGTGCCTTCCCATTGCCCTGCATACATTTTATAATGAATCTTGATGTAAATACCCTTTTTTTTATATCTCTGAAAGGCCTATTTTTTCATCTTGTTATTTATTACTAGAGTGTTGCTTCAATGGTTACAGTTCTGAATTAAATTTGTGTCATGTCTGCCTAGAGTTCAGCATTATTATAATTAGGTAGCACAGTATCACATTATCATAGAACACAGAAGGAAGGAAGAATGAAATTACTTACAGATGCCCCTGTTGGGAATTGCTGTGAAACTTGGGAGCCCCATACCATTGAATTTACCTGGGCAGCCACCATCTGAGAGGCCATTTTCCTAAGAAGACTATAGTGAGAAGAAAACATATGTAATTACATTAAACATATTGTTCTAAATGACATTACCAAAAAACTTTCATATCACAAGATACTTGCAATGTGCACTTGACCCTTATCTGACTGATTATCTTATTCAAATTGGCCATTAAAGTGTTACTAAACCCAGGACCCTGCATTCACTATAGCTGGTCTCCCACATTACACACAACATGGAAATGCAATTATTTTAGTAACTATAAACTGCCAAAAACCTTTTCTCATCTGCAGTTAGAGCAGTCTTGTTACTTCTATCAGTGTCCAACAGAGCACTGGTTAAAGCTTGTAGGAGGAGTTTCATTCTCCTGATTGTCCTATGAGGCTGCATAACCTCTGACCCTCTGTCTGAACAGTGCTAATTGTCCCTGTGCTGATCACAAGAAAAAAGAAAACCTCTAGCAATGCACAAACTGAGTATGTGCAGCTTGACTCCAAGGCGCTGTTCTATTAGCAGAGGAATAGGGGACAGCAGAAGGGGAGGACCAAAGATGACAGGATCAAACACCCTATTTACACAATGCGTAGAATTAATGCCTTAGGTTCCACAGTGAGTATAACAGTCATGCTTTACTGCATATACAGACTGATTTTATAGTTGTTGGTTTAGTATCACTAAGTCCCCCCTCCTCTGAATTCCTCTTGCTGCTGCTTATCTTAGGAAAGTGCTCAGTGCAGAGACAAGTGGAGGTTACGAAGGAGCAGTCTCCTTCCTAGCTGTTGTCATATCCGTTATAGCTAGGGTTAGGGTTAGGAACACCTAGCAACATGGGAAATTGTACAATGCATAAAAGACAAACCCTATATACTGTATCAAACCACTTGTGATTTTGCTCTTCTGGGGTAGGGGGCGCGTGAGCACTGATCACTGTATTGGTGTCACTGGGGATGTCAGTGACACCAAGCCAGCTCCCCCAGTGTCAGAATGCCTGCCACAGTCCTGCTATAAGTCACTGATCATCGCCATTACTAGTGAAAATTAAAAAAAAATCCCATTATATGTAGCTCCATTTGTAAATACTATAACTTTCACGTAAATCAATTAATTTACACATACTGGGATTATTTTTTTAGCAAAGACGTATCAGAATCCATTTTGGCCTAAATTTGACAAAATAATTTTTTTTATTTTTTACTGGACATGTTTAATAGCAAAAAGTCAAAAATATTGTTTCTCAAAATTGTCGGCAGGGTTTTTTTTAAACTTTTAAATAGCACAAAAACATAAAACGCAAAAGAGGCAATCAAATACCACAGAAAGAAAGGACATAAATTTAAATTTGGGTGCAGCGTTGCTTGACCGTGCAATCGTTAAAGTAACGCAGCGCCATAACACAAAAAAGGCCTGGTCAGGAACGGGGGTGAATCCTCTGGAGGGCAAGTGGTTAAATATAAAACTATTAGATAGTTGTTTAATAGAAAAAAGTAAAAAATATAGTTTTTCCTCAAAATTGTCTATTTTTTTTATAGTGCAAAAAAATAAAAATATATGCAAATACCACCAAAAGAAAGCTCAATTTGTGGGAAGAAAAAAAAAAAAAAATCTAATTTGGGTGCAGCGTTTCATGACCGTGCAACTGTTAAAGTAATGCAGCACCACAATGCAAAAAAATGGCCTGGACAGGAAGGGGGTAAATCTCTCGTATATCCTAGTAAAATGCTCCTAACAGCTTTTTGAGCGTTTTTTTCTTCATGTACTGTAAAGATGATAATAAACGCTAACGCTCTTAAAACACAAATACAAGCCGACACAAACATGCGATTATCAGCGTTTTCATCCAGCTTTTTTTTCTGGCTTATAAAAACCACTAGTGTGCATGGAGCCTTAATCGTGAAGCAGTGTTAAGTGCTTTAATTTTTACCCCAGGATACCAACTGTATGTGTAATAAAAAAAAAAAAAAAAAAAAATTATAGAAAAACCTTTGTCTTGATCTGCTTTTGATTTGCGTGGCTTATTTCCCTGTAGTGTCCTACTACTACTTGATAATGTCACAGGTACATGCAGTATGTAAATACAGCAAACATGCAACAAGAAATCTGGCATCTCTGTAATGTTAGCCATACGTGTTAATGTTATTGCTTGAAATCAGAGGGTGTAAACTAGAAGCCAAGGCGATGGGATGCAAAGGTTACAGATTTACTACTTTACCTCTGTCATGCCTTTGTCCTTATTTCATGGCAGTGCCAAACTGTGAGCTAAAAAATATGAATGCACTGTGCAAAAAAACCCAAAAGGTTGCAGGCACTAAGGGTAAAGGAATCAAGGTGACACGTCTGCAGGCTTTGAATATTATCATCGCCCTGGCTAAACTGTATGGCATGGATGTGTGAATTACAACAGCAGCTGAAAAGCATAATAAATATTTCAGAAGGTACAAAACAGATCTGTATGTATTTTTACCTGTATACTAAACAGTATGACATATGCCAAGATATTGGCAATTGATACATTATCAGAAAACGTCAACTCTCATTAACACTGATGCACTACGGTAATGTTCATTTTATCGGGTGCTGCAACAATGCAAGTTAACACAATTTTTGAATGACACCTCACCCATACCCAAAACCACACTTCAATAGCGTGTTTAGGGGAGGGGGGGGGGGGTTAAGGGTCAGGTGTGTTTTTACTACACAGTAGTAGTAGTTGTGCTACCAGACCATTCAAATAAATTAGCTGCCTTAAATCTGAACTCTAGATATAGTTTCTATTGCAGAGTTACATTTGTCCAGCATGGACAAATGTAATTATACATATCCTATACTTGTAGGATCGCTGTGAAAGCAAAGAATAGCTCTAGTAGTTGCTGCTGCAACAGTGATTGCTGTGGTCCTGGGCTAGAAGCTGCCCTCCTGCATAGTGAACATGGGGTGTTGCTCACTTGGCACGGCTGCTATTCACACAGAATGTCTTGTATTTTTTTCTCTTTCAATGAGTACAAGGTGTTCTATGATTAAACAAGGTGGAGATTGCTATGTTGCTGGAAGACTGCAGCAACCACTGTAATAGTGGTGACTACTACTAGTAATTTTCTTTTTTCATAGCAGTTCAAGAGGAATAAAATTTGCGTAATAGCAGGCTGCTGTTAGCACAAAGTATAGTCTGTCTGAACGAGCCCTTAGAGTAGCAATTTAATTTTATAAGATATACATTCCACTATGCCTGACAAATGTAGAAAACTTCAAAAAAGGTCAAATCTTCCCAAACCAGATAACCTGCCCACATTAAAAGTCTCAGGGTTCCTAGATTGGTAATTACATTAGGGACAAGGCAAAGTCCTTCTTACAATAGCATACTCACTCAGTGCCATCGCCACCATCATTTAAATATGTGACACCAAGACGATTTCCAGGTGGATACTCAAAGCCATGTAGCTTGTATTTGGCATAAATAGCAGATGAAATATTTTGGTACTGAACCACAGCATGAGCTGCCAAAAGGAAATAAAAAAAAAATTAGTAATCACAACAATCCTGAATAGCCGTGTCATTCATTCACAGGAATGTGAGAGTGGAGAAACTACAAGTCCCATTTTCCACTTCAGCAGACAGCTTGTATTTCTCAGTCCATGGACACCTCCTCCAGCTTTTGAAGTGACAGCCAATAACAGAGGTACAGGCAAGAAAGATGGAGGCAAAGTGTGCAGGAACTTGACATTACACCCGAAATCTAAAGATTGCGAGTGTAATGCTCTGCAGGCTCCTGTGAATATAATAAACGCACTTTGTCTTGCAAAAATATGCACTTTTTTTTTTAAAGGGGATCTTATCCTTTAAAGTTTCTTAGATTTGCCAAGCCAACATATTACATATATTACACCTACAGAGTAATCGCAGAACTGTCAACCACAAAAGGAAAAAAAAAAAAGAAAAAAAAAAAAAAAAAGCCCAGAAATCCACTCCATGGGGATGACTAGGCAAAAAATGTTTGCAAATCCAAGGAATTACTACTATACAAATGTCTCAGAAATCTTCATTCAAATCAAAATAAAGCCAATCTCAATTCTACATATTTAAAAAATTCAAGGCGTGGGTGGCCCTGTCAGCACCACCCAGCTGGACAAAAGTCGATTTTAAAATCAAATGAACCAGGTGGAAAATTATTGGCCAAACAGTAACTGAACCCAATCAGATACAGTCACTGTTTAGGTAGTCAGACAGCCGTCGATGCCATGGGTGTTTAAACAAGGTTCTTTTGTAAAGAGTACAACACCGTGACGAGGCTACTCACAAACCAAACACTGTAGTACATCCAGCACCAGTTTTGAAGTGTATACATTTCAGGTGTGGCTCCCACGCAGCATTCTACCCCACTAGGGAAGCAATACTACTTAATGGGTTAAGTTGTAGGCCAATGACTGCTGTGCAAGTTTAATTTTACATTATTTTTGCAAGCATGTATGAGCAGATCTCAAGTATAGAGACTATTTGCTAAGAGTAGACATGAATGGCCATACATTTCAATCATGTCTGCACTGCTTCAGAAAGTCTGTGATGATGAAGTTACAGATCTGGGCACATCTGATGCATCATAATAGTCACATGACATTTCATACGTGTCAACCTCCAGTCTTGCACAGACACTGTCCCCTAGCTGTGATGCCCCACCACTTCCTCATAGTGCAGGGACTGGTTCAGGTGCAGTCTTGCTGTGACAAACAAAAGTGACAAATGCAAGACAGCACCTTTCACCTTTACAAAGCTAGAATTTCCATTTCATAAGTCTCCCACTCCTCATTATTTTAAAGTTCAATTTTGGGGAGTTAGAAAAAAAAAAAAAAAAAAAAAAACACACTTACAGTAAGTACTGTAGAGATCCCTCTGAAGCTCACAGAACTCAAGCCCTGGAACAAGGTCAAACAAGCCATATAGTTGCTCCTGAAGGAGTGGCAACCGGGATACAACAGTGAGACGCTTAGACACAGCTTCCTGGTTCCTAGAATCTCCACATTTATCATAAGCTGCATAATCGTACTGATCTGGGAAAAAAAAAAAATAAAGAAGATAATTACATATCTAGCTCTTCAGGTCAAAAGAAACCGCAACATATGTGTTTACCAATAGAGAATGGTTAAAGTGATTCTAAAGGTTGTAAAACACGCACACCTACCTCTCTGTTGCACTTTGCTACAATGTAAATTAGTGAGTGTACAGCTTGCAAAACAGTGTAAATTTACTATCCCCTCAAAATAACTCAACAGCCATTAATGTCTAAACCGCTGGCAACAAAAGTGATTACACCCCTAAGTGAAAATGTCCAAATTGGGCCCAAAGTGTCAATATTTTGTGTGGCCACCATTATTTTCCAGCACTGCCTTAACCCTCTTGGGCATGGAGTTCCCCAGAACTTCACAGGTTGCCACTGGAGTCCTCTTCCACTCCTCCATGACGACATCACGGAGCTGGTGGATGTTAGAGACCTTGCACTCCTCCACCTTCCATTTGAGGATGCCCCACAGATGCTCAATAGGGTTTAGGTCTGGACACATGCTTGGCCAGTCCATCACCTTTACCCTCAGCTTCTTTAGCAAGGCAGTGGTAGTCTTGGAGGTGTGTTTGGGGTCATTATGCTGGAATACTGCCTTGCAGCCCAGTCTCCGAAGGGAGGGGGATCATGCTCTGCTTCAGTATGTCACAGTACATGTTGGCATTCATGGTTCCCTCAATGAACTGTAGCTCCCCAGTGCTGGCATCACTCATGCAGACCCATACCATGACACTCCCATCACTATGTTTGACTGTAGGCAAGACACACTTTTCTTTGTACTCCTTACCTGGTTGCCGCGACACGCGCTTGACACCATCTGGACCAAATAAATTTATCTTGGTCTCATCAGACCACAGGACATGGTTCCAGTAAACCATGTCCTTAGTCTGCTTGTCTTCAGCAAGCTGTTTGCGGGCTTTCTTGTGTATCATCTTTGGAAGAGACTTCTTTCTGGGATGACAGCCATGCAGAATGCGGCGTATGGTCTGAGCACTGAGACTGACCCCCCACCCCTTCAACCTCTGCAGCAATGCTGGCAGCACTCATACATCTATTTCCCAAAGACAACCTCTGGATATGACGCTGAGCACGTGCACTCAACTTCCTTGGTCAACCATGGCGAGGCCTGTTCTGAGTGGAACTTGTCCTGTTAAACCGCTGTATGGTCTTGGCCACCGTGCTGCAGCTTAGTTTCAGAGTCTTGGCAATCTTCTTATAGCCTAGGCCATCTATAAGTAGAGCAACAATTTTTTTTCAGATCCTCAGAACGTTCTTTGCCATGAGGTACCATGTTGAACTTCCAGTGACCAGTATGAGTGAGAGCGATAACACAAAATTTAACAAACCTGCTCCCCATTCACACCTGAGACCTTGTAACACTAACGAGTCATATGACACCGGGGAGGGAAAATGGCTAATTGGGACATTTTCACTTAGGGGTGTACTCACTTATGTTGCCAGAGGTTTAGACATTAATGGCTGTGTGTTGAGTTACTGTGAGGGGACTGCAAATTTACACTGTTATACACTCACTCACTACGTCACATTGTAGCAAAGTGTCATTTCTTCAATGTTGTCACATGAAAAAATAAAATATTTACATAAATATGAGGGATGTACTCACTTCTGTGAGATACTGTCTTTGAGCCACCAAAATATTTTACTACGCATGCACACCTGGCATGCAAGCATGTATATAAAAGTTAAATTTTAGGTTTTATTATTTTTTTTAATTCAGGTCTAATCAAATGTAAAAAGCAACAAACACTTCTAAAGCTGTGTCCAACGCAGATTTACCCATTCATGTTCCAACACTCCATTTTAAATGAAGCCCAGAACTGTTCACCCCAGTACTTTAGAAAGTAGGGCATTATGGGCATGCCCCCCAGGGGCATCACCATGGCGCACTGCACTCATAGTATAATGAGGAAGAGAGCAGTGGTGACATTGTCACATCAGTACCACTCTTTGCATCATTAAGGACCACCCAGAACTGGAGAAGAGGACCCTATTGTCATCTGACTGGCCTAAAAGATATCTAAAAAAAATAGTATTTATATATTTAAAATAACAAAATACATGTGGCAGGAGGAGGAGCCATCAAGGTTGTATATGGGCTTGAAGGAAAGTTCAGAGATATTTATATACGATTTTGACCTAGAACATATATACCTAAAAAAGGGTCAATTCACGAACCTGTGTTTTATGTGTCATTTGCTATAATGATCAATACTAACTTTAGTTGAGAATAGCTGGTATAAATTGTCTTGGACAGCAATTGTGTTTTGCCATTTACAGCAAAATTCCTCCAGAGGTAGCTAGTAGTTCCTTGAGCTGTACCTGTTTGACATCATTTGATGGTGCCTGGATAGTTCTGGGGCCAATAGCACACATGGCAGTCCCAGTACATGACACCAATGGGCTTTTTAGCTATCTGAAGGGATCATTCTGTACCCCAATGCTGGGAGTATTATTCCCCAATGACCACCAATGTAGGGAGCATTCCTCCCACAGAACACAAATGTAAGTGGCTTTTCTCCACTGATCCCCAAGGAATTCATTTTAGCAGGGGTCCCCAGGAACTAAAAAAAAAAAAAAAAAAAAAACCCACATACACCCATTTTCCGACCCTCATACATTAATAAACATCTACTAGTAAAAAATAAAGCGTAGAAAGTTCAGCAAACTGACCAAAAGGATATAAGGTAGTGGCTGTTTCAAGCAGAGGTTCTGGGTGACGAGAGACACTGTGGTAATCTGTAGTATCTGATGCTCCACCTTTGTTTTTGGGTTCTGCCAGAATAGCCTTATAATCTGCAAAACAATAAAAAACAGAAGTTTTATAAGTAGTAGTATGTGGGGTTGACTTTCAAATAACACTCAATGTACAGAAAAATGTATAGAGCAAATTCCAGGTCAGGTATTTTGACAGCATGTGTATATGCAATTACATTCAATATTTCATATTTTAATTGACCTACTCATACTCGCTGTAAAAAAAAAAAAAAATATGGTATGGGTATATCCCTATTTTTATCATATAAAATGGTTATTATTGTTCTTTTTGCTCAATATCAAATTCCAGTCTCCTGCATAAAGTTGCTAGCAGCAACAACAGCTGACCGTTTCACTCTTCTGTGTCTTTCGGTGTCCTTTCATTTCTCTCCAGCTCATAAATAGAAGGGTACTTGTTTTGCATGCAATTGCTCTTTGCACAAATACTAAAAGCTAGAAATAGTTATTCACAACAAAATATGGAAAAAAAAAAAAAAAATGTACAGAAAAAAAGGACAAAAAAAAAAATAAAAATACAAAAACACCACACAAACACTTACTTCGATCACAGTTTTCTATTGCCATGGCAGCCTGCGAAGGTTTGAGGAACCGCACATATCCCAGCCCTTTACTTTCACCTGTGCTTTTATTCTTGATAATTGAACAATACTCTATATGACCATATTCCTGGTGAAAGAGAACAATGAAATAAAAGGTCATACCGCTTTATTTATCAAGTTAAAATAAAATGTTTCATTCTAAATCTGAACGAGTCGGACCCCCCCCTCTCCCCCCCCCCCCCCCAAGGTCCATACTCGCCTCTGATGGCTGCAGCATGTGCCATCTGCAACCCGGTCTGTGAATATCTAGCGGTGGGCTGCTGACATCTAAGTGCTACCATTCCATAGACTTAAAAGGGACCTTACTGCTGCAGAACAGGTATATAAAGGGGCTGCAAAGTACAGGCAGTCCAGCATTAGAATTTTATCAACTGGGCTACAGACATGGTGGGTTGCCACAGATACAAAAATAGTTTATTACTGACCTGCAGTGGGGGTGGCAGTTCTATGTATTGAGGGAGCGCTAGGGAGGGGGGCTGGGGGAATTTTACATTAAAGATTCAAACGTACTTTAAAAAAGAAACTAAAGTCTGCACTACTTACCTCTCTGTCAATGGTCCAAGCAGGGTGAATTTGATTTACATCATGATTCAAATCACTAGTGAAAAGGCTGATTTAAATCATCATTTTTAAAGAGCAACTGTCATCTCTGCCCCACAGTGGCTCCTCTGACTGCTGTTGACTCGCCGACAGTCCCATTCACTTTAATGGTGATGTGGCAGTGACACAGCAAGGTGAGGGACGTGGCGGCAGCAGGTGACTGGATGCCTGCAAACAGGTGCTGCCATGATGGATCTAAAATGACAGGTGATCTTTAAAACGTAAGGAATCTGACTCATTCTTGTTGGTAGTTAAAATCTTTAATATTTGCAAACCAAATGAAGGTTTCCTTTTGAGGGCCAGTTCACACTACAAAAATGCACTCTGGATACATTCCGGATACATTTTTGCTTACAGTTCACACCACAAGCAGTTCTGGTGCAATTTGCCATGTTCCAGTATGGTTCTGTGCAGAAAAAAAAATGCAGCATATTCTACTTTTTTTCTGCACCGGAAATTGACTGGAACTAAAGCCACTGGTGGGAACCAGGGCCATTGGAAAACATGGAAAAAATGTGCATGTATTTTTTATGCAGGAAAAAAAGCGCACTGAACTGCATCTAGTGTGAACTAGCTCTTAGAAAAATAAGCTGTCAGGTTAGTAAAATAGCAATATCAGAACCGATTTTAGGGTAATCACACATAGCTGGAGAACTACTCATTCTTTTATTTCATGTTTTTTTTCTCATGGTTACTGGGAAATTGTGTGAATGCATCAATGCAGTGCAGGTTATCTCAGCTTACAGAGCTTGATTTATTGAGTTTACCAAAAATGTAAATATTGCAGAATATACAGCCTCATACTATATTACGAAGCTCCATTTCATGCTGAATAAACTAAATTATTACTGTATCTTAAAAGCTTTCCCACTGCTCTATAGCAGATATACGGCTACAAGGCGGCAAGAGTACGCAAAATCACGTATATATACACGTGATTTTACATTTCCGGGTAGGTGGCGCGCGAGCCACTATTCACGGCCTCTGCATAGAAGAGCCATGTATAGCAGTGTGCTTACAGTGAAGCGCGCACACACAGCACACAGTTAACCCTTTGATCACCCCATCCTGCCCAGTGCCATTAGTGAAGTGCCAGTGCTTTTTATTAGCACTGATCACTGTATTGGTGTCACTGGGGATGTCAGTGACACCAAGTCAGTTGCCCCAAGTGTCAGAATGCCTGCTGCAGTCGCGCAATAAGTCGCTAATCACCGCCATTAGTAGTAAAAATTAAAAAAAAAAAAAAAAATTAATTCCCAGTATATATACACATTTGTAAATGCTATAAATTTAACGTAAACCATTTAATTCTCACATATTGGAAATTTTTTTTTTTTTTTTTAGCAAAGACATGTAGCAGAGTATGTTTTGACCTAAATTTATGACGAAATTAGATTTTTTTAATGGACATGTTTAATAGCAAAAAGTCAAAAATATTGTTTTTTCCTCAAAATTGTATTTTTTTTTTTTTTTTTTTTTAATAGCGCAAAAAATAAAACCACAGAGGCAAACACCACAAAAAGAAAGCTCTATTCAAGGGTAAATATGGACCTAAATTTAATTTGGGTGCAGCGTTGCATGACCGCACAATTATTAACGTATTGAAGCGCTGTAACGCAAAAAAACCTAGCTCTATACTCAGACAAAAAAAATATACAAAAAAATGGGCAGACCTGATGGACCACTTGACTTTTTTCCCAGCTGTCACTTTTCTATGTTTCTATGACACAGGCCCTCAATATAATCAGGAAAATGCACAAAAACAACACCCCCCATAAATTATGAACAGCAGAGGATGTATTACTGAAATCTCCAGATTCTTTATAAAATATCCTAGATGTAATAAATTCTCTTTATTACAATCATTTGTGTACCTTGAATGTGTTCTTGACATCATCTTCAGTGTAGGTCTTAGGAATCATCACAAATATCCTAGTTAATTCTTCATCTTCCACATCTCTGTGATTCGAAGACCCTCGGGATTGCGCAATAAATACCTACATAACAAGGATTTTGTTAAAGGCTATGTCAAGCCAAGGATTACTACTGAAAAGATTTGATGGAACAGTAAGAGACTGTCCATAGAAATTACTAAACCTGAGCCAACACACAGGTTATACCAGACAACAGTGGGATCCCAGCAAAGGTTGACTGTGATAACAGTTACATGCACACTGAATCTGCTTACAACTTCCATGACTTGAGTTTAAAATATATAGGAAAGGTAAACACCTTCAGCCACAGTATATACATTAGTCAGTTACTTGGATAACAGAGCTGGTCATAGAACAACAAATATTCTGTCTGATTCTGAATTAAAATTTTTTTTTTTTTTTTTTTTTTTTACACAACGACCCAATTAAATACAGTCATGGCCGAAATTGTTGGCACCCTTGATATATTCTCCAGGAAATCATGTATTTCTCACGAAACGTATTGCATTAACACATGTTTTGCTATACACATGTTTATTCCCTTTGTGTGTATTGGGACAAAACAAAAAAAGGGAGGAAAGAAAGCAAATTCGACATAATGTCACACAAACCTCCAAAAATGGGCTGGACAAAAGTATTGGCACCCTTTCACAACTGCGGATAAATAAGAATGTTACAAGCATGTGATGCTCCTGTAAACTCACCTGGGGCAAGTAACAGGTGTGGGCAATATAGAAATCACACCTGAAAGCAGATAAAAAGGAGAGACGTTCACTTAACCTTTGCATTGTGTGTCTGTCTGTGCCACACTAAGCATGGACAACAGAAAGAGGAGACGAGAACTGTCTGAGGACCTGAGAACCAAAATTGTGGCAAAATATCAACAATCTCAAGGTTACAAGTCCATCTCCAGAGAACTAGATTTGCCTTTGTCCACAGTGCGCAACATTATCAAGAAGTTTGCAACCCATGGCACTGTAGCTAATCTCCCTGGTCGTGGACGGATGAGGAAAATTGATGAAAGATTGCAACGCAGAATAGTCCGGATGGTGGATAAGCAGCCCCAAACATGTTCCAAAGACATTCAAGCTGTCCTGCAGGCTCAGGGAGCATCAGTGTCAGCGCGAACTATCCGTCGACATTTAAATGAAATGAAACGCTATGGCAGGAGACCCAGGAGGACCCCACTGCTGACACAGACATAAAAAAGCAAGACTACAGTTTGCCAAAATGTACTTGAGTAAGCCAAAAGCCTTCTGGGAAAACGTCTTGTGGACAGATGAGACCAAGATAGAGCTTTTCGGTAAAGCACATCATTCTACTGTTTACCGAAAACGGAATGAGGCCTACAAAGAACAAAACACAGTACCTACGGTAAAATATGGTGGAGGTTCAATGATGTTTTGGGGTTGTTTTGCTGCCTCTGGCACTGGGTGCCTTGACTGTGTGCAAGGCATCATGAAATCTGAGGATTACCAAAGGATTTTGGGTCGCACTGTAGGGCCCAGTGTCAGAAAGCTGGGTTTGCGTCCAAGATCCTGGGTCTTCCAGCAGGACAATGACCCCAAACATACGTCAAAAAGCACTCAGAAATGGATGGCAAAGAAGCGCTGGAGAGTTCTGAAGTGGCCAGCAATGAGCCCAGATCTAAATCCCATTGAACACCTGTGGAGAGATCTTAAAATTGCTGTTGGGAAAAGGTGTCCTTCCAATAAGAGAGACCTGGAGCTGTTTGCAAAGGAAGAGTGGTCCAAAATTCCGGGTGAGAGGTGTCAGAAGCTTATTGATGGTTATAGGAAGCGACTGATTTCAGTTATGTTTTCCAAAGGGTGTGCAACCAAATATTAAGTTAAGGGTGCCAATACTTTTGTCCAGCCCATTTTTGGGGTTTTGTGTGACATTATGTCATATTTGCTTTTCTGCCTCTGTTTTATATTTGTTCCAATACATACAAAGGGAATAAACATGTGTATAGCAAAACATGTGTTAATGCAATACCTTTTTTGTGTGAAATACTTGATTTTCAGGAAAAATATCAAGGGTGCCAACAATTTCGGCCATGACTGTATACTGTTGAGAAAGACTATTTTGCTAACTGTAAGGGGGTAATAAAAGAATATAAAAGAATAGTATTCCAGGTGAATATTCCTCTATTTCACATGCCATTGTTTTTATCTGTGCCCATATATACATGCCAAGCTGTGCAAAAAAAAAAAGTTCCATTAACAGGAGATGGGACAAACTACTATGAATATTAACAGGGGTGCTTACAGTAGTCAACTTTATTCATATGGTTTTGACTTTTTTGTCAAAAATGGAAAAAAAAAAAAAAAAAAAAGCAGACCTAATATTTTAAAGCGTATTAGATTGCCAGTGTTTGGAGCATACCTCCAGTTATGTGATTTACCAGCACATACCCACAGACAGCTGCATTTTTTAATTGCTGTATGTAGCAGCTTTGGGTGCCAGGGAAGTTTTTACAAATGTTCTGGATGCGGATGCACCCTGTATGGACACAGAGGCATTGTGTATGAGCCTTAATTTGTTAGTAACATATTAAAAGTGCATCTAGAACTACGTTATCAGTGTGAAGTTGCCACGACTTCTGACACCCATTTAAGGCGTGCCTATTCTGGGTCTAAGACTTAAGTACTGAAGTCAGGTATAGCCAAGAAACTTGCATTTTCAGGAGGCCAGAAATGGCCTCCCTTATATAATGCAGAAATGGGTCTAGTGGCTGCACATCCGATAAAATCACCTTTGAGTTTTCATCCAAACACACTCCACACACAGTAGAAAAGGGAAGAGAGCAGACCAGCTTTCTATGTGGCTTGTATTTGGATGAAAACTCAATAAAAGGGGAGGATTTGGGGTCACCGACTCCCGATCTCACCATACAGTGTACTGTCACCAGGGGCGGACTGACAACTCAAGGGGCCCCCGGGCAATTGGGGATCATGGGGCCCGGTCCTTGCCCACACTCAAAAGAGCCTATTAAAAAAAAAAAAAAAATGGTACCAGGGGCATTTTATGGGGCCCCCTACTGACCTCGGGCAGTGCCCGAGTGCTCGAATGGTCAGTCCACCCCTGCCTATTGCAACAAGGGATGTTTACAACTTGTTTTTAAAGTGACAGCTTAAAATAATTATAAAATTTCTAAAAAAGTGCTCCGTCCCCCTGTGTTTGCGTGCAAAAGCAAAAACATGCATCGGTCCCACATGTGAGGTATAGCTGCAAATGTCAGATCATGGGCAGTAATCCTAGCACCAGACCTCTTCTATAATCTAAAGTGGTAACCTGTAAGGGCTTTTAAAGTGTGCCCTATGAATAGTAAAATTTACGTAATTTGTCACTGTTGCACAAGCGCGTGTAATTTTACCGTGTGACATGTCTGGTATCTACTTACTCGCCATAACATCTTTTATGTTTTACAAAAAAATTGGGTTATGTAGTGTGTTTTTTTGGCATTAAAATGGTTAGCACTTCCGCCTGGCAGTACTAGGGTCGTTGGTTCGATTCCCAGCCACGACACCACCTGCATGGAGTTTGCATGTTCTCCCTGTGCCTGCATGGCTTTCCTCCGGGTACTCCGGTTTCCTCCCACACGCCAAAGACATGCTAGTAGGTTAATTGGCTCCTGTCTAAATCGGCCCTAGTATGTGTATGCATGAATGTGAGAGCCATTAGATTGTACACCACTAGAGTTATTATTATACAGGATTGATATAGCACCAACAGTTTGCTCAGAGCTTTACAATATAACGGGAGACAATACAGTTCAATACAAGAGGGATAGGAGGGCCCTGCTCCTTGAAGCTTACAATCTAGTAGAGTTTTAGGGACTAGTGTGAATGTACAATACATATGTAAAGTGCTGTGTAAATTTACAGCGCTATATAAGTACCTGTAATAATTAAAATTAAAAAAAAAAAGTGTATTTTTTCCCCAAAGAACAGCATTTGAAAAAAAAAAAGCTGCACAAATACCGTGTGACACAAAAAATTGAAACACCCACCAATTTATTCTCTAGGACCTCTGCTTTAAAAATGTTTGTGGGCTCTGAGATCTTTTCTAGCAAAATAAATACTGAATGTTACATGTAACCAAAGTGCCAGAAAAGGCTTGGATCATTTACATGTCATATTACCAGCAACATAGGCACCACAAATGCAGTGCGTGTGCCACCGGTACAGCCACCCTCATTCTCAGGTAGGTGAGAAATATGGAAGGGGGGGGGGGGCAGCAAGGTATTTACCCAATATAAATATGTTGTTATATGATGCTGTGATAGGAGGGAGCAAATAATATTAGAGGATGTAGAATGTGACATCACTGATGAGGCCCACCAGGAGATCCGGGGACTTCCAACAATACCCAGCCACGTGGACACTGCAGGCCTAGGCCGGGGATGACGTCACGCGCCCTCACCTTGATGGGCTTGCTGCTCTCTCCCAGGTGCCGGCCGTGCATCTCCTCCATAGACCGACAGGCCTGGGAGGACTTGGCGTACTTGACGTAGGCGATGCCTTTGGACTCCTTGGTCTGTTTGTCCCTCACCACCCACACGTCCTGGATTTCGCCGAACGCAGAGAATTTGTCACGGATGATGTCCTCCGATACCGACCGACTCACCACCAGAAACACCCCCGGCTGTTAGGAGGGTCGTCCAGGTTGCCGACTGAGGGGCGGAAGCCGCTGCTGTCCTCCATACTGGCGGTCATAGTGAACGGATTACAGCTGTCTGGATGATAAACACACACCACAACGAACAGGCCACTAGCCGCCAAAATCCACCTCTTCCGGTGACGTGTTAGTATATCGATCACTGTGTGGGATAGCTAGTTGGTGAGACATTATCTGCGCAGCGACCTCTGCTGGCGGGAGGATAATAATGCATTAGGTGTAAAGGGACGCCTGCTTGTCCTGATGTGGCTTACGTACACTAAGGTGTCCTGTTATGAAGCGGAGATCCTGAGGATCGTTGCTGATCTCAGATCATTTGTGGTTTAGGAAACAGAGATGATCAGCGGAGAACATGTTCTCCGCTGATCATCTCAGTACACAGATGGCCAGTGTATGGAGGAGCGATGTCAGCCCTTCACTGGTGATCTGTGTTCTCCCTCCAGATTCTCCAACCCAGAGCTGGAAAATCGAAGGAACCGCAAACGAAGCAACGATAATTTACCGCTGCTTAGTAAATGGTGCTTGACTGATCTCTTACTGTAATCTTGTGAGATTATAGTAAAATCAGCTGTTTTCCAGCGTTTGTAGCGCTTCTCCATTCGAAGAAGTGATCTACACTGCTTCATAAAAAGGCATTCAGAGGAGAACTCTCTTCTCTGAGAATGCCGGAGAACTGAGCAGCGGTCATTTACCGCTGCATGATAAAAGGACACCTATATTGCCAAAAGTATTGGTCGGCCTGCCTCTAAACGCACATGAACTTTAATGGCATCCCAGTCTTATGCAGGCCATAGATGGGTCGAAAATAAAATCGGCCAATTTTCGGATCGTTAGTGGGTTAATAGGTCAGCTGTTTTTCGGTATCTTGGCAAAGTTTGAAAAAAAATCGCCCGATTTTTGCTGATCGGTCGATTTTAGCGGCAATGATGGGCAAACCGGACGATCTTTTTACCGATAAAAAATCTGCACATGAGCAGTGACCTGCAAGAGGAAGACAAAAAGAAGAAGAGGAAGAAGAGGATAAAGAAGAAGAATAGGATGAAGAAGAAGAGGATAAAGAAGCAGAATTCCAGTCTGGCAAAAAGTGTCCCTGCATAGAGCTCCGCTATTTCTTTGACAGTTCTTTGACATTTATAGCGGCTGCAACAATGTATCTATTTGTTTCCAAATAAAAACATCTGTATCCGAAATGGATACAAATAGATACAATTTTGCAGCTGCTATAAATGTCAAAGAACTGTCAAAGAAATAGCGGAGCTCTCTGCAGGGACACTTTTTGCCGGCTGTAGACGGGATGAAAATCGGCCGATTTTTTTACCGTTCCTGGTAACGTCGGCCCATTGAACTACGATTTTTTTTTTTTTTTAAAAAAATCGGCCAGTTTCCTCCCCATCTATGGCCTGCATTAGTCTGTAGGGTTCAATACTGAGTTGGCCCACCCTTTGCAGCTATAACAGCTTCAACTCTTCTGGGAAGGCTGTCCACAAGGTATAGGAGTGTGTCTATGGGAATGTTTGACCATTCTTCCAGAAGCGCATATGTGAGGTCAGGCACTGATGTCCGGCGAGAAAACCTGGCTTGCAGTCTTATCTCTAATTCATCCTAAAGTTGTTCTGTCAGGTTGAGGTCAGGATTCTGTGCAGGCCAATTAAGTTCCTTCACTCCAAACTCGCTCATCCATGTCTTTATGGACCTTGCTTTGTGCACTGGTACGCAGTCATGAGGGAACAGGAAGGAGCCATCCCCAAACTGTTCCCACAAAGTTGTGAGCATGAAATTGTCCAAAATGTCTCGGTATGCTGACACCTTAAGAGTTTCTCTTCACTGGAACTAAGGGGCCAAGCCCAACCCATGAAAACCAACCCCACACCATACTCCCCTCCTCCACCAAATTTTACACTTGGCACAATGCAGTCAGGCCAGTACCGTTCTCCTGGTAACCGTCAATCCCAGACACGTCTATGGAATTGCAAGACAGAGAAGCGGAATTCATCACTTAAGAGAACACATCTCCACTGGTCTAGAGTCCAGTGGCGGCATGCTTTACACCACTGCATCTGACGCTTTGCATTGCACTTGGTGATGTAAGGTTTGGATGCAGCTGTTTCGGCCATGGAAACCCATTCCATGAAGCTCTCTACGCACTCTCAGAATCAACATTTTCTATAGGACACTATACTACAAAATATTCCCACAAATGCGGGCCATTGATTGCAAACAAGATTGTTAATTTGCACACACAAAAAAGTATTTTTTCTTAACAAATTCATTCAAGACCATGTTGCAAAAATGAATACACCGCAATGAAAGTCTTAGGACCAAAGCTAAATTTTAGACAACAATATCCTAATTAACAAGAATTCAACTCCAGGTGAGTCTAATTATTCATTAAACAGGTGTCCAGCAGAAAGTTGATTATAAAAGGGCGTTACTTAACAAAGAAAACCCCTTCCTGGTTCATGCTGTCATCAATGGCACCACATGGAAGAGAAATGTACTCTGGAGTGATGAGACCAAGATAAATGTTTTTGGAATTTATGGCTTCAAAACTGTATGGGGTCGCAAAGGTGAGGAGTACAAAGAAAAATGCATGGTGCCTACAGTTAAACATGGTGGTGGCAGTGGGGGGGAACTGACTTGGTGTCATTGACATCCCCAGTGACATTAATACAGTGATCAGTGCTAAAAAAAAGCACTGACACTGTACTAATGGCATTGGGCAGGAAGGGGTTAACATCTGGGGCGATGTGCTTTACTGTGTATATGCAGAGCAATGCAAAGCAATGTGCAGGAGCTGAGAGGGGAGAGATCTGTATTGTTTACATTCAGGTCTCTTTCATCAGTGATATATGGCGATTGCCGAGTGCAGACGGGGAATCACAGGCCGGAACCCGGTGATCGATAGGTGAGGCCCGCCAATAGCGCTGTAGGTAGGGCGCTCACGCATGCCCCCTACCCGGAAATGTGAAATCACATATATGTACGTGATTGACATTACATTTACAGTATATGGATCCTTTTCACTTTGAGGGCTACAATGTAGCTGCTGAAGTGCAGTATGATGTTAGCAATGCTGATGCTGCAATCATGGTGCGTCGCACTGTTTCCCTTTATTTTAAAGCTGACTTTCTCTTTCAAATGTTACATTGGCCAGCATGGTCCAAGGTAGTGGATTTTGTCACATTATACTGCGCTAAAAAAAAATAACTTCATGTCATACTTTTTTCAACTGGCCTGATTGAAGACATTTTTCTTGAGGTGGGACTGTGTTGGAATAGCTGTCCAGTGCAGTCCATCACTCCTCTATGAAAGAGCCCTTTGATCTTCAGTTGCCATGGTGCTGCACATGTGATCAGTTATGACTCTAACCATTTGATTGCCTGAGTTGAGAGCACAAGCAATTGTGACAGTTATCATTCTTGGCATGTTTTGGATGTAACTGTATTGGGAAACAGAAGAACTAAACCCCCTTATTTTTAGCCAAAGAAGCTGCCATCTTAGCCTCTGTTTGATCTTCAACTGCCTTGATGCTGCACATGTGATCAGTTGTGACTCCAGCCATTTGATGGTTTGACAGTTTGGTTAAGAGTCAAGCAAATATGACAGTTAGCATTCCCAGCATGCTGGAATGTAACTGTTTTTTTAAACCATTAAATTGATGGGTTTAGTTCTGCTGTAAATTGACAGGTTAGAGTTCCGCTCTTAATGATCTCTTCCAGCTTTAATTGAATTGATCTGTAGCAGGGTAAGTTCTCATGTGCTGCCAAACAAATAGATGCAAAAAAGTTACTGCAAACACCCTCAAGTGTTCCCACACCAACAAAGGATACAAAAAATATATAAATGGTGCTGTGCTGCTAATTAACTAATCTGATAGATAAAGTGAAGAAACAAAACCAATGAATGAACCTACCAAATGGTCTACCATATATACCAATAGCACAACTGTAAAACTGAAGAACAAAAAAGTGTGTAGAAACACAGAATATAACTGGATGCTAACATTTATAGGTAAACTTGATCCAGGGAATATTCGATTGCCTCTCGGGGGATCAGGAAGGAATTTTTTTTCCCCAGCAGGAGCAAATTAGATCATGCCTTGCTGGGTTTTTTTTTTTTGCCTTCCTCTGGATCAACTGTGGGTATAGGATTATAACTTTTTTTTTTTTTCTATGGTTGAACCAGATGGACTTTTGTCTTTCTTTTCAGCCAGACTAAATATATATATACACACACACACACACACACACACAGTTGCAAGAAAAAGTATGTGAACCCCTTGGGATTACATGGAGTTTTGCATGAATTGGGCATAAAATGTGCTCTGAACGTCATCTAAGTCACAACAATAGAAGAACACAGTCTGCTGAACATAATACTACACAAACATTAGATGATGCCATGGTTTAATTGCACATAACATGTAAACATTCACAGTGCAGGGAGGAAAAAGTATGTGAGGCCCTAGCTTAATGACTTCTCCCAGAGCGAATTGGAGCCAGGAGTGAGCCAACCTTGACTCCAATCAGTGTGATGATATTGGATGTGTTGCTGACAGCTGTCCTGCCCTTAAAAAACACACACCTGTTTTGGGTTTACTGGATTCAAGAAGCACTGTCTGATGTGAACCATGCCTCACAGAAAAGAGCACTCAGAAGACCTACAATCAAGAATTGTTGACTTGCATGAAGTTGGAAAGGGTTCCAAAAGTATCTCCAAAAGACTTGATGTTCATGTGTCCACGATAAGACAGACTGTCTACAAATGGAGAAAGTTTAGCACTGTTGCTACTCTCCCTAGGCGTGGTCGTCCTGTAAAAATGACTGCAAGAGCACAGCGCAGAATGCTGCATGAGGTAAAGAAGAATCCCAGAGTGTCAGCTAAAGACTTACAGAAATCTCTGGCACATGCTAACATTTTTGTTGACACATCTACAATAAGGAAAACATTAAACAAGAATGGAGTACATGGGAGGACACCACGGAGGAAGCCATTTCTGTCCAAAAAGAATATTGCAGCATGTTTGAAGTTTGCAAAAGAGCACCTGGATGTTCCACAGCACTACTGGCAAAATATACTGTGGACAGATGAAACCAAGATTGAGTTGTTTGGGAAGAACACACAACACTACGTGTGGAGAAAAAAAGGCACAGCACACCAACATCAAAACCTCATCCCCACTGTAAAACATGGCGGAGGGAGCATCATGGTTTGGGGCTGCTTTGCTGCCTCAGGGCCTGGACAGATTGTTGTCATTGATGGGAAAATTAATTCCAGAGTTTATCAAGACATTTTGCAGGAAAACGTACGACCATCTGTCCGCCAACTGAAGCTCAGCAGAGGATGGGTGATGCAACAGGACAATGACCCAAAGCATACAAGTAATTCAACAAAACAATGGCTGCAACAGCACAGAATATGCCTTCTGGAGTGGCCCAGTCAGAGTCCTGACCTCAACCCCATTGAAATGCTGTGGCATGACCTTAAGAGAGCGATTCACACCAGACATCCCAAGAATATTGCTACACTGAAACAGTTTTGTGAAGAGGAGTGGTCCAAAATTACTCCAGATCGTTGTGCAGGTCTGATCTGCAACTACAGGAAACGTTTGGTTGAGGTTATTGCTGCCAAAGGAGGGTCAACCAGTTATTAAGTCCAAAGGTTCACATACTTTTTCCTCCCTGCACTGTGAATGTTTACATGTTATGTGCAATTAAACCATGGCAACATCTAATGTTTGTGTAGTATTATGTTCAGCAGACTGTGTTCTTCTATTGTTGTGACTTAGATGACGTTCAGAGCACATTTTATGCCCAATTCATGCAAAACTCCACGTAATCCCAAGGGGTTCACATACTTTTTCTTGCAACTGTGTGTGTGTATATATACAGTGGGGATCGAAAGTTTGGGCACCCCAGCTAAAAATTTGCATTAATGCGCATAAAGAAGCCAAGGAAAGATGGAAAAATCTCCAAAAGGCATCAAATTACAGATTAGACATTCTTATAATATGTCAACAAAAGTTAGATTTTATTTCCATCATTTACACTTTCAAAATAACAGAAAACAAAAAAATGGCATCTGCAATATATATTATATAATATTATATATATATAATATATATATATATATATATATATATATATATATATATATAATTAGTGAGTAAGCACCTGCCAGCTGCTCAAACACACTAAGATGTAGTGAATATACAACATATTGTCAAATAAAAACCAATAAAAGATCTGAAAAAATATGAAGACATAATAAGATAAATATATGTAAATATATAAGTGAAATAAAAAAAACCACCTGCTAGCTACTCAAACACACTCAAGTGATATTTGGACACATAAAAAACATGAATCATTAGGGAATATATAAAATGAAAACTAATGTTAGGTGTCATAAATTGATAAATGCGAAAAAGTGTAAACACCCAGCCATCCCTCTAAAACGCAAAGTGTGAGGAGGTTGCAGGGCTAATGAATATAAAGAAAAAATTAAACCATGTAAACAGAGATTCAAATACAAAAGTATATAACAAATGTCCAATTAATACATGTGAACTTCAAAGTGAGTTCCAATCGCTCAAAGATGTTTTAAATCTGCCCGTGATTAATCCACTGGGTATAACACCATGTCAACCACCACCAGAATCACCTCCTTATATTGACCTATACAGTAGTAAACAGATCAAAATGCGCTCTGACAGTATCCTGGATTGCTCCATTAGAATCAACAAATTGCCATAGAGCTGAGATAAAGGTCCACATCAATAAGTATTCAGGTGGATGTATCACTGACTGGTGACAGTAATAAAAAAATGATTTTTTTTTTGTATAAATTCTTTAAATATTTGTTTCTTTTTACATACTTTCATCAGAGTAGTTCAGTGTCCATTGTAGCTTCTTCCCCTGCCACAGTGACCATTGCAACACTGTACTAAAAAGTATCACATGGAGAACTTTTTACCCCCAACTGATTAAAAATAAAGGCTAATACAATGAAAAAAAAAATAATCAAGTTACACCCAAGCACTTAAACCCCCCCAAATCTGTGAGCCCTCCCCCCCCCCCCCCCAACATACACGGACATACGAATATGCTAAATATTGCCATAAATGCAGCAATAATTATGGAAGCAATAATTCTAGGCCCAGTATTCACTGCTAACCCTAGATTGATGTCCTAAAGGGGCTTTTAGTGTTTAGGGTACTGAAATTTGCAGCTTTTTCACAGGCCTTAACGCAGAACTGAAGATACATAGTTAGTCTGGCTGAAAAAGGAAAAAGTCCATCCAGTTCAACCATAGTTCCTCTGTAAAAAAACTAAGCCGTTTTTAGCAGGTTGTTATTGCAGAAGAGACATAGGCTGTCTCTTTTGAAGTAAAATGCCCCTACCTGCCTGCTTGCCGTCTCTTCCAACACTGTGAACTGAACTGCACATGTGCAGCTCCGCTTATAGGGCCAGGCCGATCTCCAAGTACCAAAATGACGGCCTCCTGCACATGCAGAGGAGTGAGATCATCCGCCGGCCAATGAAGAGGCCCAAGGACCGGTACTCACATATCCCAGGAGGCTTTAGTATTTCATTCACAGAGGGGGAGGGGCAGGCCCAGTAGCATGTCATTGGGAAGCCCGCTGGCTGATCCCGAAAGAGAAGGACATCGCTGGATCCAATGGGTGGGTGAGCATGTGAACTGTGGCAAACCCACCACAAGGTAAGCTAGGGTTACAAAAAAAAAA